TTTCCCCTGCAGACACGCTGCAGCCAGGCATGGTGGTCAAAGCCCCATGTAAAAACATCAATAATGATGTCCGGGTTCGTTATATCCCTCGTGTAATGCGGCTCCAGGGCCAAATCCGGATTATACACGGACGCAGGCAACGGCATGTCGAGCTCGGGACCATGCGGTCCGCCTCCTGGCATTATAACCAGGGCTCGACCGTGTGGGTCCTTCTTCACCGCCGCGTCGAACTCGGCCAGCTCGCGGTGGCCTTTGGCAATCTGCTTCGGGTGCACTGTGGCACGAGCTGCCGGGATCCCTGGGCTATCCCCAGGTGCGGCCTTCGCCGTGGGAGGAGCCTTCTTTGGCAGTTGCCCTCCAGGTGGCCAGGCGCCGGCGCTGCGGAAGTCTTCGGTGCAGCCTTCGCCGTGGGAGGCGCCTTCTTAGGCAGTTGCTCCTCTGATGCAGCCATCGCGGCAGGCTCCGTGTCTCCTACGGACGTGCCTACCATGCAATGGTTAGGGAACGCTACGCTTATGCGTCGTTTCGTATTGTTGCGAATCTCAGCCGACGTTGTAAAGCTGTGACCATGGCCTACGCCTACAGTGCTGTGACCATGGCCTAAGCCTACAGTGCTGTGACTGCGACTTGTTGCCGCTGCATCCTCTGTCGCTGCTGCATCTCCGGGGGATCCGCTCACAGGTCCTGAGTGAGCTAACGTGGCAGCGGCAGCAGACCTAAACATGGGAACTGGCGGCGAGGGAATCTGGAAACCCTTGATAAGGCGGGTTGCTTGGTCAGGGTCAAGCCCTCTGTTATGTTTATGCACAACAGCCCTGAGTCATGTGTACGGCACAACTTGATCCTGATGACAGTGTCTTCCGAAGGTAGCCGAACACCGCAAACCCCATGTCGCAAATCCTTGGTTATACCAAGCTGAGCCTGTGCGTAAAGGGACAGGAGGAGAGGGGCTGTACCCTTAATCTCGTGCGAATCAAGGACACCTGGGACCCTCGAATCCTGCTCCAATCCCATTATAGAGAAAGGTATGGTCCTGCTACCCAAAGTCTCGGTAGCACCGCTAAGACCCTTGAAGGTACGATTGCCCTCAGGCTTAAACCTGGTGCTGTAACCAAAGGTTGCAAGTTTCCCAGCCGCGTTTGCTATCCAATCGCTACCGTGAACAGTCGAGTTGCAGCCCTCATCTAACACGGCGTATACGTGCTCGTCCTCGTAGATGTTTACTACGGGCAAATCAACCAAAGCCGGATGGATATCTGTGACCCCCTCAGTAAAAGCCACGAAACCGTGCCTCGTCGCAGAGGCCCTCGAAGAGCGCGATCTCACCGACGCCACTTCCCAACTGTTGTTGGTAGATGGCGCTGCGTGATCGTCTAAGGCCTCTTGCAGGTATGCGAGAAGGTCACCGCGAGATATCACGGGCTCGGTTACGAAGTGGCCTTCTACGGTCTCTTGAAACTGGGCAATAGCCGGAACTACTACCTCTACGGGAAGGCTATCTCCCGTGCTGCCGACTATGCTGCGCAGAAGATCGAAGTCCAGGGTGTTGGACTCCCGCAGCACTGTGGCTGCGTCCTCCCTAGCCTTTCGCTCGGTCTGCGGCTGCTCATCTAGAAGCATCCCACAAAGCTTGCACTTAGTGCGGGAGGTCTTTCTGCTGCTACCCGACCTCTCGGTGGAGGTGTGAGGGCATGTGGCCTGGTCTATGACAGGCTTTTCTTTCTTAGTCTTGACAGTGCCGCATTTCTTACAGGTCCGCATGTCCATGCATGCGTTGCTCCCCGACTTGTTGAACTCCTTGCAACCTCCCCGGCATGTCCGGGTGCCTTCGCTGGACGAAGCAGCTGACGCGGCGAGGCGAACCTCGGGCTGAAAGGGTTCAGGCGGGGGTTCCTGGCTGAGAGGAATATCCCTTCTCGTAATACTGATAGGGGTGTCATCGCGTACGTCGAAGTACTCTGTGACCCAGTTCAAGAAGTCAGCCAAATTTATGGATGGGCACTTCTGCGTGCGTCCCCAGAGAACACATCCAGGGTACGTATACAGAACACGCTCGTAAGTCAGACCCTTATGCTGGCCAAAGGAGAAAACGCGATCGGAACCCACAGGCGGGCTATCACGCATAATCCCTGCGGCAGCTGTGCGCCGAAGCTGTGGTGAGAACAACGTGTCACTGCCACGACCCTTGCCTGTGCCGGTCTTCGAGGGGGTCAACTCCAAGTTGGCCGGGTATCCCTCAAGTCTACCAGCACTCGCATTCGACAAGTGAACACACTCGGTATCGTCCTCATCCACCGCGGCGAAATACGCCTGAGGCTTCGGTGCCGCCGACTTTGCGGCTGCGTTAGCGGCTCCCCCAGACTGTGCTGGGGTTGTGGTGCCTTTGGGGCCATTGCCCTTACCGCTAAACTTGCAGGCAGCATCTCCGGCCCAATGACCGATTACACCACACTTCAGACACCTACTCTTTGCTTTAAGCTCTGCTAGCTTGGCCTTGCGGTCAGCAATAGTTAGGTTACTACGCACGACCTTCCCGCCGGATTTTCCGGTGGGCTTGCCCTTGTTCTTCCCCTTTCCTTTTGCCTGGGCAAATGCGGTCTGTGCCGCGTATGCAAGCTGAACTGACTCGGCATAGGAATCATCCAAGTCATCGACCTCAGCTTCGCATGCCACCGCCGTATAGGCGTTGAGTTGCAATGCTAGATCTTCATCATCGATCCATTCATCCGCGTCGCCTCCCCCAGACGCTGTGGCCTGGTACGCTTCATCACCGTAGCCGTCACCGTAGCCTTCCGCGGATTCGTGCTGTTCCTGGTGATCATACTCTACGGCACTACCGTCATATCCCATATAGCCAAACTTAGGGTATTGGGGCTTAGCGTCGAAACGTCTCCAGGTCTTACCTGGGCCACTGGGGTCCTTCTGGGTAAGAAGACGTTCCTTCATGTGCACCACAGAGTGGTGCTGAACAAGGACGCGTGCGTACTCTTCCACACTGTGCACGCGGGCGGCGGTCTTGACCATCAGCTGTTCAGACCTTTCCAATCCCGAAAGCTCAACAAGGAGATTAGCCCTCATTGCCTCGGAAAGACGGATGTCAGGGTCCAGCTCTCGCAGGGTCGACCACCACCGCTTTCGGCGGGCTATGTAAGACAACATAGGCTCGCCGGGTTGCTTTGCAAGTGGGCCCGTCAGGAGCTGTCCCTGACGGAAAAGTTCAGACGCCTCTTCGGATTGAAGAGGGAAGGCTTGCCTCCTGATTTCTTCTATCAGGTAGTCAATGCCGTCATGACGAAGCAGACGTTCCAATCCGACGTCGCGAGCGATGCAAAAGGCATCTCCTCGGAGACCTTCTAGGATCTTGCTGACGCACTCGCTCATGTCGAGCGACTCGTCCTTGACGTCTTGCAACGTGTACACCGCCGGATCTGTGTCCGGCTCTTGCTCATCGTCGCCCGTCACTTGACTGGGGTGCGACGGTAACGACTCCGCATCCTCATCTTCTGCCTCGGACACGGGCTTAGTCCGCTTTGCGCTGGACGGACTGGCGGGTATACCGCTGCTCGCATCGCCCTCGGTGGGGGATGCACTGGTCCCTTGACTGGCCCTGCCACGCCACTTCCTTGGTGATACGCTTTTGGACCTTGCTGACTCGGCAAAACGCAAGTCCTTCAAAGCTTCGCGCCGCTGCTTCTCCTTATGCTGCAGCACACGGATCTGTGTCCGGAAGCACCAATCGTGGAACCCAGCAGCTGACCCGTCGTATATGTACGAGCCGCTTTTGGTTTCAGCAGGGCTCAGGTTCTGTGACCAGAGATTGGGCTGGTAGCGCAAACCTGCCACGCTCATGGCTTCACCTAAGACAGTAGGGGCCTTTGCTCCACAACTATCTATCAACTACTCTACGGTCCCCGGACCAACGGCTCTCGGGGGTGATACACTAGTGGTTGTCCTCTCAGTTCCGCTACCAGTTTGAAGCAGGAACTGGGTTCGAGAGTGTCCAGCCACACAACAAAGCCTCTTTTGCGTTCGAGCCCAAGACGTCTTCACGAAGGAAGCGTTTAAGCTAGACATGAAAAACTCTCTACGCATGAGGACGGTCAACACGGCACTGCAAGACAGGGAAATTTCACACCAGTGAATCAGAGAGCCACCGTGGGCTTGCGGGTTCTGACGCCCCCAAGTTTGACTGCTCAGCACCCTTGGGCTCAAACACTTTGACGTGAGGCCCTGGGCCTCCTGAGGCAAAACAGAACACCAGGAAAACCTTGACACTGCTGACAGACGTGCCAAGCGAGAACATTGAGACTGACAAGACAACCAAGACACAACACTAGCAAAACCTGACACGGTACTTGCTGAAACCCCTGCACAGCTGCTGCATGGCTCGCTAGGTAAGATCAAACGAAGACATCCACCGATTTGCTCACTGTTGCGTCCATAAGGCCCGCCCCCTTCCAAACAAAGAACTCTTCCCCCCCTCGCCCCGCCGCCCTCGTCTCTTCCCTACGGCGAGGCAAGACGGCCTAGCCTACATCATTCGTGAAGTTGATGCCAAAGCCTGGGAATTCTAGGGCTGTGTCTTGCAGTTTGCTTCAAAGCTTGATTCCCCGGTCAACCTTTGGGAGGTTGTAGAGGAGACCAGGGAGAAGTGTGATACGCCTTTTATTTGACGTCCATGGGGTAATTCAGGGAATGTGCCACCTCTCGTGTGGATTATTGCTCAGCCCCTCAGCATGAAAACAAATACTGACATTGAAGAAACATTCTGAAGCAAATGCACTCATTCACCCAAGACCTCACCTGTGTGACCTACCCGTTGCTTTCCGAAACAATGCACCTGCTTCAAGCACAGCCGGGCCGAGGCGGACAATGCCAAGCATTTAAAAAGACTGTGCAGGCGTGACGTATCCCTACACTCTGGGCCACATCATCGAGATTCTCATCTCCCTTGCATTACAAAGAGCTGCACCAGTGCAAGCAGCAACGCTTGTCCGTGCCTCCATGCCCAAGGTGTCCTCTTCCTCCAAAGTTTCGTCTCCCTCGCGCTGCAAGCGATTCTGGTCGCACTGCTCCTCCGGCCAACTCCCTTCAGAAGAACGTCACTTGACCACAGCCTCAAGGCACTCCCTGTCCTTGGTCACACACCTCAGCCGCTCCACAAAACCTCGCAAGAAGGGCATTCTGGACAGTTGCGTGTTGATCTCTGCGGCGAGCAGCTGAAGAGCATGGGATTCAGAAAGTCGCGAAATTCACGCGTGCCAAAGGTCCCCGAATTGACTTGCAAGCACAGCAACCTTGGAGCCACAGTGGCTGCAGTCTCGGAACCAACAACACCTTAGCCCTGGCCATACTCCATAAGACTCTATTTCAAGCTATGCTTAAAGCTATGCGGCTTGAAAGGGAGCAAGCTGACCCAAGAACTGTCGAGGAAGCTTTCGTGGCGCCGCAAGCTCTCCAAACAGAGCTCCAGGCCGCGCTCGCGCCACTCCGAGGCCTCCGCCTCGGCCTCCGCCTCCTCAGCCTCTTTCGCCCAGATCGAGTTTGGGAGCCTCTCGGGGCTGCCAATGGCGCGGGCCACCACCAGCACCTCTTTGGCTCGGAGCTCGTGCAGTTGAGGGCAAAGCAAGCCGCACCTCATAGAGCACGCTCTCTGCCACTCTCTGCCACTCTCGCTCACTCTCGCTCACTCTCGCTCAGCTTCCCTTATCGAGTCGCAGCAACGCCGTCAGCTGGACCGTCTCGCGGCTGCTCAGATCCAATACAGCCAGGCTTTGCAGGATCTCGACGCAGTGGGAGCTTCCCAGCCCCTTGATGCAGGGACGCAAGGTTGCAGCTTGCCTACACAGAGGCTATGCATCACGACTGACGACATGCCTCCAGTGTGCGGCGGCCACTGCTGCCGAGTGCTTCGCAAGGTGTCGCCACCGCGCGAAGAAAGTGTGGAGACGGAGCCCAGGTCCAGCAGATGGCGCCTGTGAACGCCCCAAGAAGCACGGACAAAGCCGCTAGGTCACGCTGCTGGAGTTTTGCAAGCGCCGCCAGGGAGCTCACGGCCTGCACCGGGCTGAAAGTGCAGTGCCCTGGCCCGCTGCCGGCAACGCCACTGGTCGCAATGTGCTGGCAGAGCTTCTCCAGTGGAAGCAGAAATTCCGAGTCCGAGGTCTGCCGCAACCGACACAGAGCTGTGAGGAGGTGTTGCACCGAGACAGGTTGCAATCGGCGCGCTCGGCCGACAGCCGTGTCAAGCAAAGACTTCTGACTTTCACTATCAAGGCCTCCAAAGTAAGAGAAGACGTTAATCAAGTTGCAAAGGCTGATCGATTGGATCCTTGCTTGCTGTTCCATCACTACGGGCCTAAGTGCGGCCAGCAAAGGCTCATGCTGGTGTCGCAACTTTAGCAGCCCCCTCAACAGACGCACGAGGTCAGCTTCAGACAGTGCCTCCACTCTTCTCACCAGATCATCACAGAGCGCATCCAGCGAGTCAAGTGGCAAAGCGTCTCGAATCTGCAAATTGCTGACCGCATAGACCAAGTCGCAAAGATGGCTCGGAGAGATTTGGTGGACCCCTTCATTCAGAGATTCTGCAGCAAGCACAAATACAGCATCGTCGTAAAACTCCCATTTGCTGCATGCGAGGAGCATCGATGCGGCGGCGTTTGCACTTGGAAGTCCCACGCACAGCACTTGCTGGCATATGGCGTGCAGCAAGACATACTCCTCGTGTGGATCTCCTTTGCCCAAAGCCCTTGCAAGAGGTGCCAACATCTCTGCAGGGACGCCTTCCATGCGGCGGTTCAAGAAGCCGCACAACCAAGACAGAAGCTCAGCAGGAGAACCCTCCTTCTGGGAGCCCAGGCGCGCCAATGTGCAAAAGAGCTCTGCCCCGTCTGCCGCTTTGCTTCGAACGCTTTGTCCCAGTCCTCCCGAGCCGCCCAAGCCGCCCAAGCCTGCCTGGTGCGCCACGTCCCGGATCAGCTTCGTCAACTCTTCCTCGCTAAGTTTCCGAAAGGCGGCTCGACCCGCGGCCTTGGTCAAGGCGCAGAAGACGGCCAGCGCCTGCAGTGAGACAGCGAAGCGAAAGCTTTGCAGGGCCGGCGGGGTTTCGGGGCCCGGGCCCCCCGGGTGTTCGGGCCGAGCCTCCGGGCCGAAGTCCTGATGCTTCTCGGAGAGCTGGCGGGCACAGTGCTGTACAAGCTGCAGGACGCTGGTGGCGGCGAGCCGCCCAGACTCACCTGTCACATGACACGGGACGGTTGGGGGTTTGGGTTCGTTTCTCCGTCGCACCTTCGTTCTCGCGGAGGAGACAGAGGATTCGGACGAGCCGGAGAGGCTGCCGAGCGATCTCCACATTGCGTTTGAGCAACGGCATGAAGCCGGGAAGAGACTCGCGGAGACTTCCGCCCCCAGCGACCGCCTCGAGTGCTTCCAGCACTTGTCCCGGCCTCAACCGCGGTCCGCAGCGCTCCAAACTCGCCGCCCAGCACTTCCGAAACTCTGCCTCGCAAGCCCCACCGGCCCCGCCCTCGCTGGAAGCTCGCGGAGCTCGCAGAATGCGCAAGAGGATGCGAAGGTGGCTCTGCCGAAGACCGGGCCAAAAGGGCCAATATTGCCAGCGGCAGCTCGCAGCATGACCCCAGATTGCTCCGGTCACTGTGCGGGTCGCACCTTGAGCGAAGTTGTCCCTGTCCCTGCCTCTGTCAACCGCCCGTTCAACCCGGAACCGGCGGAACCGGGGAAGTCCCGCCTCTTTGATCCGCCGAAGCGAGAAAGCACGCAGCTCACAAGCCTTGGGCAAGCGAGCACGAGCGCGCCATGCACAAGGCACCACGGACTCCATAGGCCTCGCATCCCGTGCTCGTCCTACTGGCCCACTCAGTCTTCGCGAAAACACTAGCCACAATCCCACACAACCAGCTCTTACCGCTTGCCGTCAAGTACAACATGATTACTTTCATGGTCTGCCTTGCAGCTGCATGCCCACCGGATGATAAATGCTGCTGATGATTGGCTGCTTGTTTTTTGCACCCGGATGCCAGCACCGGACCCTGCAGGCACTCTCTAGCGATCCGGAATGCATCATGTTTTGCTGCTATGGCTAGCAGAACTGCATCTGGCTCATGTACAGGGGCACACACTTCTTTGGCAACGGGCGCCGTAGCCAAGGCTTCATCCACTTTATCGAAGCTGCACACAGATGCCTGCCAACATCACTATCACCGAAACCTTTGGAAGCCATGAAAGTCCGAGACAAGTAAGTGGTCGAGGCACAGTGTTTGGCAACACCGAAGAGCGGATCGCCTCCAAAATCCTTGCAGGATCTCACAGGATTGGGGGTTAGCTTCAGGTGTACCGCCCCCATCCGTGCCTGCGCACTGCACCGAATCTCAGAAGACACCGCCCGAGATGCATGCTGGGTCTGCAGTAGAGTTGCCTTGTCGCACAATGCTCACGCACACTCCGGAAGCCGAAGATGGCAAGGGCAAGCCATGGCAAGCCGCCAGGTCTGTCTGCTGGGCTCCACCACACACAAAACGTCGGCCTCGCTGGCAAATGAACGGATGTTCAACGTGGTAGTCTACTCAGGAACCCGACCATAGAACACATTTCCTGTGCACCGGCAAAGACCCCCATCGTTTGCACCTTGGTCAAAAAGAGTTGGTCAAACCTGCAGAACAGGCTAGACGGCTAGACCTGTTGTCGCCTGAGAACTATGCACTTTGACGCAGGCCCGTCATGAGCTGCGATGGCTCGCTTGACCTGCACAAGCACACGAAGCCAAGAACTCCAAGGACATGCTCCCAGGTCCTATGGTCCTATGCTGTTTGAGCGCTCCTGGCTTCGCTTGTAAAGCTCTCCTGCCACCTCATCTCCACAAGAACCGCAAGATGGCAATAGCTTCCACGCTGGAGGCTAGAAACCTCTTAGTCACCAGCTGTTGTGTTGTCAGCCGTCAGATCGAAGCAGGAATAGGCGTCTGCAAAGCCCTGATGTTGAGAGTGGAAGGTGTACCCTGGTCTGTTCGACTTATCAGACCAGCCCCCAGCCTGGGAATTGAAGAGGTGATAAAGCTTCCGAGACAGCGGCTGCTTCACCGATCGCCGCTTCCAGTATGCAAGGGCATCGCTCACAGAAAGCTTTCGCTTCAAGACTTCCACCAAACCTCGCCCAGCGCATGTACAGCATAGAGTGACGGCTTCACACTGAACCGAGCGGCCGGTAGGGACGAAGCTCGCATCGCCATCAAAGATGTAACTCTTGAAGCTTTCGTTCCTCCTGCAACACTGCAGACTCGAGACAAGGCTGAGGCGCACGTTCATTGTTCCCTGCTGTTCAAGTCAGTGGCGACAGTGTTCCCCGACTTTGGGTGCTAAGTCTGTACTTACACTGACACAGATATGACAAACGGTTGATGTCTGTGTCCGCCATGGTGCTTGAAAAGATTGACGAGCGCTGGATGGGAGATCCCTTCACCAAGACCAGCCCAACGGACGGAACAGGCCCGCGATGGATCGTCGTAGCCTGATCCAAGGCGGTGACCCGACCGCTTCCCATGGGGGAGTGGGCCGGAACTTCGCCAAGTTGCAACACATTCCAGATTTGGGCACCATGTCCTGTGCGACAAGATTCTGGACTTGTGCTACGTTGCACAGCACCGCGCGGTGTCCTTGGAACAATGCTGCTGCATGTGCTCCTTCTGGGATTTCCATATTGCGCCCATCACCTTGCTGCCTTTGCGACCAGCCAAAAAATTTGAGCTGAACTGGCCCTTGTGGAACTTCTGCCCTTCGGCGGTATATGTTATAATGTCGTGGTCCTGGATCCTTAGTTGAAACCCCTTGCCATCTGCTCAGAACTTGAACTGCTGCGATGCCTTTGATTTGATGCTGCTGAGATATGCTCCGATCAATGATGGATGTCATGTCGATAGCCAGGAAATCGGTGTCCATGTAAACACCGCCATTGTGGTAAATCAACGCATAGCGCATTGCATCCGATTCTGCCGCCTCGTATGGGATTCTGAAGAATTCTTCCGGTGCATCCGGAATCCTGGCAGCACGGCGACAGATGTTGGAGTCGCTTTGAAAACTTCACACATCGACCTCTGTAAAACATCCACTGCACCGAGGCTCCACTGTCGGACATTCGTCCTGTTGATCAAAACCGGCTTCCCACAACGGCCCCCGGATGCACGTTCCCAGGATTGCAAATTTAGATGGATGTACTCCTTAGTGGCTTGGCTTTCTGCCAAGTTGCATGGGATGCACGAAACACTTGCATTGTGCAGTCCGGTGGCAGGAACTGGACGCGAATAGTTCCTTGGATGTTGTCCAATTTGTTCTCGAAAGCACAACCACTTCCATTAACACAAGGTCCATGCAGCCAGGCACCACATAGTGAAGATGTTGCAATGTTCAATCCGTCCTGCCCTGTGCTTGAAAGCTGAAACTCCAGGAAGTGCCAGGTACAAGGGAAACGTCCTGGGCGGCACAAGTGATGTTTACGATGAGCATCGCTTGCAACGGGGTGCAGGGCTTTGTGGCTGCATCCAAGCATCCACCACAGCAGCAGCCGCATCATGCCACTGTGTAGATTACTTCATTTTGTCGAAATGGAAAACGCTGCAGTCTGTTCACGTGCCAACTTTAATCCGACGCCCGACGCTTCCACTTCTCTGCTGCATCATCTCGAAAGTTTTGCACGTTCTGCATACAGAATGCCTTTCAGTGACCGGATGCGCTCAATACGGGGAACAATCAACACTCCCTTAAAGTCTGCTTTATAACCAGATTGAGTTCATGTTCCAATATCTTTCCTTTCTCGAGAAATCCTACAATCAACTCATAAAAGCCCAAGCATACATGTTAGAGCGAAGTGGGACCTGCTACGCAGCTTACAAAAAGCCTCATAGAAATCGCGCACGCAGGCATGCAACTGAGCTGACATGATAGGAAGATCACTCGACCGTTTTTGTATCTTCGGTGGCAAAGCCTCACACGGTAAAACACGGTGCATCGCATGTCTTAGTGATTTACGAAACGTGGTTAAAAACAATCATATATTCGGGCATAGCCCAATCAATCATATGTTATAAAAAGAAGCAATCTTCAAATATTGACGCTTCACTTGCAATCACTCGGACACCTTCGCTATTTTGGCACCTTCGGACTGCGATCAGATCAAGGGGAGAAACATGTGCACCACCGACGATCCAAGGATAACACAGGCGAACCTGTTTCCTTCAACGGACCCGTCATTCCCGGGCGGGTGGGCGGGAGAAAAATTGTTCAGTCAACGGTCACTGCAATGTGTTTCCCAGCTATGTGCATGTGCTGACACGTGACCTACGGACACACTGAACTTAGGCCAAAGGCTTTTGCACTCGAACAACTGATTCCACGTCAAAGTAAAAGTGTGACATGAAATCAAGAGCGCACGGATTTTAAATAAGTTGTAAAATTTGAAATTCCTACGTTTCGCGTCGCCTCTATGGGCGACTATAAATCAAAGACAACTCTGTCCGCCCGCGGAGAACGTCGTCTTAGTGATTTACGAAACGTGGTTAAAAACAATCATATATTCGGGCATAGCCCAATCAATCAATATGTTATAAAAAAAAGCAATCTTCAAATATTGAAGCTTCACTTGCAATCACTCGGACACCTTCGCTATTTTGGCACCTTCGGACTGCGATCAGATCAAGGGGAGAAACATGTGCACCACCGACGATCCAAGGATAACACAGGCGAACCTGTTTCCTTCAACGGACCCGTCATTCCCCAGCAGACGTCCGAATGCAGTCACAAGAAGATCGGAGGTGCTTTGTCCTTGTAGGACGTAGCGAGAAGGCTCCACGGAAGATCATCCACGGACAAAATTTCCGAAGTCAGGTCCGATGCAATCTGACTGCAGTCGACAATCTTGCCTCCTATCAGCTTTGCCGCCTCAGCGCATTCTCCCCTGCTAGGGAGATCAGCGATATTGCTCGCAGAAGGAACACGCTCCAGCCATGAAATGACTCCGTCATGAGACTCACTGGCGTAAAAGGAGCAGGCCAAGGAGAGGAGGGTTCGGCTCGGACTGCTCGCCTTAATGCATACATAGCGCGCCGCATCATTGTCGACATAGAACACGCATCTGCGGCACTGCAGGTGGTCCTTGAAAGCTCTCCTTGCCAGAACCAAAGCAAAGGCCTCGGCCTGTGAAATGACTTGTTCAACTCCTTCATCAAGCCAAAACTGCACAAGGTGATCATCTACAATCCCGCCAGCTACCAGCCTCTCACCAGAGACAGGGTCTGCCAAGACAATGCCCCATGCCGCCACGCCATCTTCGTAAGAGGCGTCGCTGAAGACTGACACCGGCCTCCCGCCTGACCTCAGCCTGATGACCTTGGGCTCCAAGCTCAAAAGCGCAGACTCAAGGTAGCGGCCCAAGGACTTCACCTCCTCGTCAGGCTGATCCCGTGGAAAGTGATAAAGGTTTGACAAGGCTCGCGCAGCAAATTTCAAGGAACGGCCGGAAGCGAAGCCCACCATGAAGTTCAGTTGGCCATGAAGGGATGCAGAGTCACTCTTGCTCACAGCCCCACTCGCAGCCATTCTCCTGGCTGCCTCAACGAGCTTCTGGACCCGGCTGGGCTTGTTCTCGAGCTCGAGGATGTCATCCATGATTCTAGAAACGCCCAGCCGCATGCCAAGGAGGTTGAAGGTTTCCTCAAAAGGCTGACCCTTGTCGTCACCGACGGCATAAGACCATCCCAAGGAGTCAAGCAGGGTTTCCACCGAGAGGCTGCACATCCTAGAAGACTCAGCAGGCTCGATCATAGGATAATCATCA